GCCTTTGTGATGCTGAAAACTCTGACTTTAGGCTCAACACACCTGCTGACTCAATCGTCTCACTTCTAGGTTCAGTCTGAGGCGGTCGGTTCTGGACCCACTGAAACTACATTTGCTCTGTGAGGTGGATGTGAATTTAAAGTGACTCTTTCTCACAGTTACAACTCTGTCAGATGTGAACTGAGCCATGAAACACATATCTTACATTCAGAGCATCCTGAACCTCGCTGTGATTTAATTATCTCTGATGTCGTTTCCTCCAGAAACCCACCAGATAAAAACCCAGTTCAGAACTCCACTGACATCCTGCCTGAGTCAAGCTTCCTGCAGTATCTCAGCGATCAGTGATCAGTGAGTGAACTTTATAAACAGAAGCCGCTGACAGATGATTCAGCTGCTTCTAGTGACAGTTTAACTAAAAGTAAATAACACTGTGTACACAGAGAGAATGACAGCTGACACTTCAGCAGCATATTAATGAGCTTTACAGCCCAGCTGCTATCATGCTGGTGCTACATTATGGGCCACTACAAACTCACATGTCATCATTCATATTTTTGATTTGTCTTGTTTAACTTGAATCGTGGCAATGAAAATCAGAATTTATTTACAACTATTCAAGTTGAGAGTTCGAGTCCAGATGTGAAGGACACTGATTCAGTTTGCAGCTGCACTCATCGGCCCACATGACGTTTCCATCACATTAGCACAAGGAGGTCTGACGTTCTCTATCCGTCACGCTGAGCTGATTAGACAACAGGATTACAGGATTAAAACAACAGAGCAGCAGGATCTCTGAAGAACAGGAGCTCGTTTCATTTCCAGACTGACCGTGGCGACCCAAGACGAGGTTCTGGTCCTGGGCCAGGTGCTGCTGGACGAACTCGCAGCACTCTCTGAAGGCTTGTCTGCAGCGAGGGAGTTTCCTGAAGGTCTGCGCGGCGAACTGGAGGCAGGTGACGCTCTTCGGGATGTACCTCATCCCCTGTTCACAGCACGTCTTCACGGAACCATAACTCGCCGCTGGAACCACAAACACGCAGTTTATCTACCGACAGCCACTGAGGTTACGTTCTACCATCACAATAAACAAAACAGAAACAAACGTTCTACCATCCTAACATTCACTGGCCAGGACCACACCATCAGTCTGAAGCTTGATTGTTTGTTGAATGCAGATGAGCGTTGTGTTGGCGAGTTGAGCCGATGCGATGTGGGGAAGACTTAGTCAGGGAGCTCCCGGGCCGGCAAACCCCTAAAAAGCATCACTAGAAAAAAAAAGAGTGGGCATAACGTAGGTCTTTAGGGTTTGAACGAATGAAAAGCTGATACGCTCATGATGACCAACGGCCTTGATCAGGCAGTGAGGGACCAATGAGAAGGAGTGGCCAGAGAACAGGCTGGGGTGGACTGTGGATGCCGTCAGGACTTGTGTGGAAGAGGAGCCAGGATCAGGTTACGACTTGACTAGTCTCTGTAACAAACAGAGGGTCGGAAAGGGAAGCATTCTGAGGTTTTCTGGTTTGTTTATGGTGTACTAAAGATTCGCATGGACTTAAGTATAAATCTAGTTTAAAGTACATGATGAGCATTGCGTTGAGTCGACCAGACAGTCAGATACGGTAGGGGTATGGTAGGATGGTAGTGTGGATCGAACTTGACTCATCAGTCAAAACTAAGGACGGCCAACAGAAGCATGTTGGAGGGCAGTCTAGGGGTTGGGACCATCGTTGACCAAGAAACTCCCAAAACCGGCAGAAGGAGCAGCATCTGTAAAGAGCTGAATGCTGCTCGGGATCTTGTTCTCGAGTGACGGTGCGTCAGATGGAAGGCGGCTTGGTGCAGCATCAGCAGTAATGCGGACAGTGCACTGGACCATCTTGGTGAAGAGGGAGCTGAGCCAGAAGGTGAAGTTCTTGATTTATGATTTACCAACCAGTTGATGTGGTTCAGACATCTGGTTCGGAAGCCTCCTGGGCAACAGTCTTTGGAGGTTTTCGGCCAGAAAGGACACCCCTGGGATAGACCCAGAACTTGCTGAAGGGACTATATGTTTCATCTAGGTAGGTAATGCTTTGGGATCCCCCAGGAGGAACTCAAAGCTGACCTGCTTTACCTTCTGCCTCCGTGACCCAACTTCAGATAAACGTGGGCGATGGAGGCATGTGCCACTGGTATCTTTGGTAAATTTAAACGGAGGGCTGACGGGGGTATATTGGTGGAGGAAACTGGCATCCCAGTGCCAGAAATGAAGGAAGGAGATTGTTGGCAGGTGAAGCCTTTCTCTTAAAGCTCTAAAGCTGAAGACCCACAACGGTCCGCTCGGAGATTTGTGTGGAAGAATATTGCCAGAGGATCCGTCAGGAGGAAGGGAGCAAGACGGTAGCTTCTCTGGACATTCACTTGCTTCGAGCATCAATGTTGGGGCTAGTGGAAGTTCAGGAGGAAGGAGTTCTGTTTTGGTCTGAGGGTGGACAATCAGAAGAGGAGTGTCTGATGCAGCTGGAGTCGCTTTGAGATGGACGACGTGGTTCATGACCAATCTCCTCATCACATCGTTGTGATTCAGCTGATCGATGTGGAGGAGATCTGGAACTTGGAGTTGGACGTTCTCTCATTGGCTGGCAACGTGGCTGAGCGATGCTGTGTGTTGCTTTGTGCACAAGAATGAACACGTGTGAAGGGCTGAGCGGGATGTTTAGACATATGACAGAAGTAGGGGAGTGATGGAAGTCTGCTCCTGAACTTCAGATAAACATCATATCTCTTCAACAAAACAGAAACAGGTTCTACCATCTAAACAGAGTGGTCAAGTCTCACCTTTCTTGTTCTTGGCTTCCTCTGTCAGAGCTCTCTTTGGACGGACCGCAGCTGTGCACGCTTCACCTGCACACACGTGTTCATTAAACCACAGCTACCTTCACCTGCCCTACACCTGAATGTGTCACATGACCCACGTACTGCTGCTGGTCGGTTGGGCGTTGGCGTTGGTCATGAAGGTGAGTCCGGCCAGTCTGAAGACATCGGCGCTGTCTCTGCCGCCGCCGCCGCCGCAGCCCTGGTCGCTCTGCTCGATGTGTCGCAATACCTGCAGGCCAACGCAGGTTACACAACATTTCCAACGCTTCACAGACACGCAAACACTGGCATACAAAGAAGAGGGAAACATCAGTGTCTCCATGGTAACGGGGTGGAAGCGTGACAAAATCTAGAAAAAACATCCGCAAAGTCCGTGCATTACCCTGTGCGGGTCATTCTGTGTTTGTCTGGTTGTTGTGTGCCTGTTTGAAGTCACTTTGTGTCTCTGTGGTAATCGTCTGTCCTTCTGTGGTCACTTTGCGTGTCTTTGTGGTCGTTTGTGTGTCTTTGTGGTCGTTTTTGTGTCTTTGTGGTCACTTTGCGTGTCTTTGTGGTCGTTTGTGTGTCTTTGTGGTCGTTTGCGTGTCTTTGTGGTCGTTTGCGTGTCTTTGTGGTCATTTGCGTGTCTTTGTGGTCGTTTTTGTGTCTCTTATGTCACTCAAGAGAAATAAAGAAATGTTCCCAGGTGAAGATGGGGTGCTTGTGGTGTTACCGTGGTAACAGGGTCTCTGTATTTGGGTCTTAACATGAAGAGGGCGGAGTCTACAGCCGACAGGGCCAGCAGGCCGTTCTGATTGGTCCTGACGTTCAGCTGGAGGTTCTGCTTTGGCTTGTGGTTCTGACTTCGCAAAGACACTTCAGTCTAACACACACACAGAACACAACACACCATTAAGTCTACAGCCGTATGTCACTGGAGTATCCTGATGTGTTTCTCTGTGGTGTGGTCCTACCTGCAGTCCGTGGACACACCTGTCCTTGACGTCCAGCCACACAGAATCGGCCACCAGCTCGGACGTTCCCTCCCCGTACAGGATGTAGTAAACCAGCAGGCGGATTGATGGAGCCATGGCCGGCGTCACCTCGAAGCTCAGAGTCTGCTTGTTATCGGCGCTGGAGACGAACTTCCTGCTGCCAAAGTCGACCACCTTCCCTTTGGACAGCACCTGAGGAGGCAGCCACGCCATCAGTAACCATGGAAACAGCACCATCACCCTGATAGCAACAGCTGCTCACCAGGTAGCTGAGGGCCTTGATGGGCAGGTAGGCGGGCGTGGCCGAGTACACCTTGATGTTGGCATAGTGTCCGACCTCCAGGCCGCGGCCGGGCAGCGGCGTGTCGATGTACAGGTAGCGCTGGTTGGGGCTGTGATAGGCCGACGCCTCCAGGGTCAGAGTCGCCTGACTGGCTGCTGGCAGGGCGCCGTCCGCCGTCTCAAACTGACAACACAGAACCAGAAAGGTGAAGGAGAGACCAGATCAAACCATCACAGAACCAGACATGGGACTGAACCGAAACACACCAACGTCCTCCTGCAGAGTCTGAACACCATCGGACCTTCTGAACAGCAGGTTCTTATCTTGTTCCTTTCCTCACAGTTAGTTTGTCTCGTTTGGTCATTTAGGGTCACACTTTGGATGCTTTACTGGTTTTGTAGCGTTTAGTGTCACAGTTTGTTCGTTCATCAGGGGTCATCAGATGGTTTTAATTGTTCTCTGCAGCATCGTCTTTGTCTCGTTATTGACTAATAGACAATCAACCTGATCGCTCTGACAGATCCAGGTTTGTGAGAAGCCCCTCCCTCTCCGCCCAGCTCCTCTCTGGCTGCAGGAAAACAAGCGCTCCCACTCGTTGGCCTCCTCGCTGTCCTGCTCACCTTCAGCACAGCTCGGACTCCCTGAGCCGGCGTGTTGCAGATGAAGACAGCGAGGCCGTCTGATTGGCTGTTGGCGCTGTCGGGACACGGTATCTCCTCGCTCTGGCCCCCCTGTTGGAACAGCTGCCGCTCTATCAGACGGACCGGAACCCGGTTCACCGGCTGGTCCAGGTGATCCTTCACCAGCACCTGCAGAGGAACCGAAGCAGAACGTTTTCACTGACAGAAATACGACCCGGTTACAGAATCAGCTGTTAGCGTTTAGCTCTCCTAAACCACTGAGGCAGAACTCAGGAACTCACATTATAATAATCGGACAAAATAATACACACAACAATGAAATCAAAGGTCGCTCATCCAGAATCCAGGTAGATGTTTAGCTCATCTGCATGTTTAATCAGATTTATCATAATTAGATAAAGTTGGATTTCACATCAGTTTCTTCATGTTTTAATCCTGAAAATGTGATTCATTGTCGTGAATTCACCATAAGTCCCACCGTAGGGTCTGAACTCAATATTTAACCTTGTTAGACGAGCTGATCGTCTTATTTCTGAGCTAGAAAGCAGCTTGGCACATCGGCTGCTGCTTCAAACTTGTTGTCTAAATAAACTCGACTCATTATTTATTCAGGAGCTAAACTAAACTAAATTCTCTCCTTCTCTGGTGAAACTACCTTCAGATGATGTATTTAATTAAAGACTTATTCATGAAAGTTTAGCTGCAGCACGAACATATTTTCTGTCCGAAATCTAAACGTCTTTTCCAAGTTTGTGAGTAATAGTCAGCTCCAAAGATCATAACTGATCAACCTGGATGTTGTAGGGGAGTCCTGGTTTGATGAACGGCGGCGTCGACACCAGACTCAGCCTGTACGGAGATTTAACGAACTTCACAGCAGCAAACTCCGCCTCCTGACTGATACCACCTGAAGAGCAAAACCAGGTGACAGAGACTTAGCTTTCAAATGTGAGGGTTGAAATTAACGTGTTCATTTTTGTTCTTTTATTTACAGTTTCCATCCACTTGTAAAGACCGTGTAAATCATGTCAGCCTTGAGTTTCCAGTGACTCGTAGAACTGTGATGGAACCATTGAAACACATGAATACTGTCACACACAAAAGAATGTCGTGCATTTTGGTTCTTTCATAGGTTTGTTAAAGGTTTTCTGGAAACATGACAAAACCTGCTGATCATAAATATTCATGCAGCAGCTTGAAGGATCAGTGGAGGGCATGGAGAACGTTGTGTTGATCTAACTGGAGGAGAGAAGGTGAGACCTTCAACCCCAAGAACACCAGACCTACCATCAGGCATGGAGGTGGCAGCATCATGCTCTGGTTCTGTTCTGCTGCCAGTGGACCTGGAGCTTTACACAAAGTCAGTGGAACCATGAAGAAGGAGGATCACCTCCAGGTTGTTCAGGAGAACCTGAAACCATCTTGGACACAGTTGGATGTTCCAACCAGACAATGAGCCCAAACACACATCAAAGTGGTGAAGAAATGGTTCCATCAGGCTGGAATGAAGGTTCTAGACTGGTCTCCCCAAAGTCCTGACTGGAACCATCCAGAACCTGTGGACTGATGAAGGAACAAGTCTGAGTCAGAAAGACGACAAGTTTAGCTGAACTGCAGCGGTTCTGTCCAGAGGAGTCAGAGATGGACCAGAAGCTGGTGGACGGAACCAGAAGAACCCGACTGAGGAGAACATGGACGTTAAAGGACGTTTAACCAGATGTTAAAGTCGATGTGTGAATGTTTATGATCAGCAGGTTTTGTCATGTTTCCAGACAACCTTTAATAAACCTATGACAGAACCCAAACACAGGATTGATTTTGTGACAAACATTCATGTTCTAATGAATCCATCGTAGAAGATTCAGAGTTCTAGGAGTCACTGGAAACCAAAGACTGAAGCTAAACATGGTCTCTACAAGTGGATGGAACCTGTTTCTGTATTTTGTCTGATTGGAAGTTTGTTAAAGTTGTGTTTTTCTTCTGATGTACCCAAATGTCTGAATTTACTGTTTGTATCTCAACAGCTCTGACTGTGTCCTCTGAGGTTTCAAACAAAAGCCGGCGGCTCTGATGATGTTGTGGAGATGTTTGCTACCTGTGCTCTCTTCCAGCAGCACAGCGATGTACAGGTACTGTCCCACCACACCGTTCAGGTCTTTCGGTCCTTCGTGTTTGGATAAAACCTTCTGCATGTTGACAACCATGTCCACTTCACCTGAAGACGACAACTGAAGGAGACACACACACACAACCCCAACCGAGATGTAGGACTACGCATGAACATGTTAGAGCCAAATCCTGTTTCTGGCAGATCTTAAACTTTCATGAGATCTGTTCACGGCATCAGGAAGCAAATGTGTCCAGATACAAGTCAGGGAACTCGAGATAATTCAGTAGAAGAAGACAGTTTAACAAACCAGGTGTCTGATTCATCCTGAGTAGAAACTAGGTTCAGGTTCATGGATCCAGATGTGACTGCAGTGTTCTACTTGACTGACCAACAAACGTTTTCTGATTAAATTAGATGCATATTTATAAATTCAATACTAGATGTCGACAGCTCAGTGCTTCTTACTCTTTCTCTGGTGATGGACTGTGGGATGATGACTGGAGGATTTTTCCCGCTAACGTAGCCATAGCGTAGAAACACCTCAGCATTGGCCACCGGAGCTCCGTGGAGATACCTGAGACAGGTGAGGGACACCATTTACAGCTGAACAAATCCCTCAGACTGTATCAGAGTCAGAACACGGTGTTGATAAAGTTTGTTCACCTGGCAGAAACCTTAAAGCTGAATCGGTTGAAGCTCCCGTGGCTGATGTAGTTTGCTTCTGGCTGCACATGGATGGAGAAACTGGGAAGAACTAACACAGGATGGAAACGTTACTAATCCGTCTTTTAATAGCTCCACCAGCTGGGCTATGGATGTCATCCTTTACCGTATTCTTTCACTTCAAAGTCAGTTCTCGCTGTTGTGGTGAAATCATCTGAGTAAGAAGCTTCAATGGACCAAATCCCCAACCTGCAATCACG